TGATTTACAGCATCCGCAGTTCTTTTGGTTTTTTATAGCTTGCTGAGAACCTATGTGCCATATATTTTTAAGATTTAAAAATTCAACTGTAACCATTCTTGATTTCACTCCACCCCAAGGGTCTTTGCCTTTAGCTGCTAAGGCCTTATGTTTTGGAATTCTTTCTATCTCTTTCCTTAAGATATTTCCTGAAACCTCCCTCCGTGACCATACTTGATGTTGCTTGCCCGAATATTTTTTCCTGTATAATCAATGCTCCTGCGAATTATTATGATAAAGCTGTTGTATATCAATGAGTTTTGTTGCTTGGGATGCACACACATATCAATGTACAATTTGTTTTAAAAATCACACTACTCATAGGTATGCAAAAAAAAACGTTTTACATGTGTAACTTTTAGTTTTTCCCTTTATGCTTTCTGGTCCACTTGTGCATTTAGACTTTCTAAACCCCGGGGCAAGATATTGCACCCCTTTTGGGAATGTGTAACGCCTCTGGGTGGGCGAGGTGATTTGATTGACAGCTCGGCATCAGACACGGCGCAGGCGCACCCGTCCCCGTTAATCACACCGGAAGTGAGTCCGACACAAAAATGCGTCTCACGCAGCCGCCGCCAGTTCTGAGTTTATCTTTTGGTTCCGTGATGTGGACGGCCGGTTCCGGGGCCTGCGGACAATCTTTTCTGGGAGGTAAAAAAAATCTAATCTAACTAAAATAAACATAACAAGGTTGAAGTGTATATTTTCGGTCTGTAGGTTGAGGAGTAGATGTGATTTCTTAAACAGGCCTAAAATAAAAGTTTTCTGTGGATTTGCTTAGAAATTAAAAGGGATTATTCTCAATTTCAGGAGTTTTATTTCTAAACTAAGAGCTGTTATTTTCAATGTGAACGTTGTTTCCAAAATATGTGGCATTTTTTCCAATTTAAAGAGACATTTTTAGATTTAATAAAGTTATTCCCAAATTGAAATGAGTTAATTCCAATGAAAAGATGTGGAAATTCAGCAGTAAGCTAAAGTCTTGCATTTCTATAGCTTCTTTCAGCACTTCAAGAAGTCCCAAAAGTGCTTTACAGCCAGTGAAATACTCTGGAAGTGTAGTCACTGTTGCAATGTTGGAAATGTGGCAGCAAACTTGCACACAACACGATCACAAAACCATTAGTACAACGATGACCAAATGATCTATATTTTATGATGTTGATTGAAGGATGCTGGAGAAAAGAGCCTGTTGTTTGAATAATGCCATGGGATCCTTTACTCCGATCTGAGAGGTAGGATAGAACCCTGGCTTAAACTTCTCACCCAAACTATGGCTCTTCTGGGCACTGTACCGACAGTATCAGCTTTGATTTGTGTGCTCAAAACACTGGAGTGGGATTTGTATGCAAAATTTTCTCTCTGAGATGTAAGACCTTTGTCCTTTTGTTTTTGTTGTTTTGAAAACACTGGACTGCAAGAAGAGAACCATTTTAAGAAGCAGATTTATCAGGATGACTGTGTAATTTCACAGTAGACTATCCAGTGCCTATTATGAACTTTTTTTGTGTGGCTATGGGTTCCTGCAATGTGCAGATGATAAGGAGCCAACCAATTTTTTACAAGTAATGTCGATTAGTTCTCAGCTAACTGAGCCGGTTAGAACTAGAAATAAGTTGGAGAGAGAGAAGGACACCGAAGGGTGTGCAGTAGTTCTCCCCAGCAGAAGCTACCTGTTCTCTGCTGTAAAAACTCAGGTCAAACTTGAAGCAAGCCAGTTACGTTTACTGTAGCAGCTAGTGTGAGCTGTGAACTTTGAATTACGAAATTGGAATTGGAAGTCAAGACCACTGAACTGACTTTACAGTTTTATTTTACCTCTGGCAAAAATCTATTTTCCCTATTTGTTTATCTGTTTGTGTCTGTGTCTGCGTGTGTATAAGGGAAAGTTCATAGGGGATTTGAGTTTTAGCTAGTCATGTTGTATGCCAATGGTTCATGTCAGTTTACTTTTAGCTGTAGTCAAATTTGTTACCATAAATAATATTTCTTGTTTAGTACAGAAACCTGATCTGTGCTTTCTATCAACCTCAGTCTGAAAGACAGGTAAATTGAGATACTGTGTGCAATTTGGGGAATAAAAAACTTATAACATTTCATTCAACTCCAGGAATATTGCAGTTTTATTTACAGCTGGCTACCCCAGTGGGTCATAACAGGTGAAAGTGTCGACCAACTGAGAAAGTTTATTATTCCTCAGCCTGTCAGTGGCAATTATTTTTCACATCCCTAAGACTGACTGACTGTTGAAGGGTAATTGTGGTAAGGTTTGGGAAACCAAGGCAGGTAGATGGAATTAAGGTACAGATCAATAACAAACTCAGGGAATGGCTGAATGGTCTCCTCTTCTGAAATTCTCTTTCTGTCCATGTCTCTTGCCTATCCTGAACATGGTGTTTGATTGAAGTGAAGCTCCACAGGTGATAATTACCCTAAACAAACTTACATTTTTCATGAGTGAGCTATCCCAGATATTTGGAGGTTGGAATTCTTAAATACTGGCAGAACCTGATAGCCAAGACCCTTCGCAGGTAAAGGGGACGACTGACAAGTGGAAGGTTTTCAAAAGTGTGATAATGAGAGTTTAGAGGCATTATGTACCTGTTACAGTGAATGGCGAGTCTGGTAAGATTAGGGAATAATGGATGTATAAAGGCATTGAGGTTCTAGTCAAGAGTTTTAAAAAATCATATATTAGGTAAAGACAATGAAGGGACAGCACAGTGACTTAATGGTTAGCACTGCGCCAGGGACCCGGGTTCAATTCCACCCTAGGTGACTGCCTGTGTGGAGTTTGCACATTCTTGCTGCGTCTGTGTGGGTTTCCTCTGGGTGCTCTGGTTTCCTCCCACACCCAAAGATGTGCAGATTAGGTGTATTGGCCATGCTAAATTGCCCATAGTGCCCAGAGATGTTTGGGTTAGGTGGGTTAGACATGGCAAATGCAGGGGTATGGGAATGGGTCTGGGTGGGATGCTCTTCAGAGGAGTGGCGTGGACTTGTTGGGCCAAATGGCTTGTTTCCACACTGTGGGGATCCTACGATTATAACTGGGATCAAATGAATCTCTTGCAGGGTGTAAAGAGTGTAGGGGCATTTTTAAGAGGGAAATCAGGAAGGAAAAGAGGGCGGCTATGAGATAGCCTTGGTTAAATCCACGAATAAAATGGTTTGGAGCGATACGCATCAAATGCAGGAAGGTGGGACTCATATTTAGTTTGGGAACATGGTCAGCATGGACTGGTTGGACTGAAGGGTCTGTTCCCGTGCCTCTGTAAGACAGCTCATAGCAGTTGCCAACACTCCAAGATTATCCTGGACATTCCAAGTATTGTAGATTAATTTCCAGGGCACTCCTGCATGCAAAATAAACGCAGGGTTGTTTCAACATAAAATTGTTTTATTTAAATTTTCTTTGAACATTTTCCTTTATCAATTATTAACACATTGGAGTTTATAGGAGAAGATAGTTAACTGTCATGGAGCAATATTCAGTCAGTTTAAAAAAATGCTAAAACAAAACAAAGAACCGAGATGCTGCAGATCTGAAACAGTCAAAAACAGAAATTGCAGGAGAAACTCAGCAGATCTGGCAGTATTCGCGGTGCGAAAACAGGGTTAAACTTTCAAACCCAGTAACTTGACTTCAGTTCTAAAATGTTAACTTTGTTTTTGCTCCATAGCTGGCGCCAGACCTGCAGAATTTCTCCAGCAGCTTCTGTTTTCGTTTGCCAAAAGAAAAGCCGGCTTTTGGTTTTTCCAATTGACATTTAAATGGTTCCATTGGGAGGTGATATGTTGTGATGATTAACCACATCCAATGTCACAAAACCTTGAGGACAATAAGAGTTAGCAACCTTGCATCCATTGAATGTATATCTCTTGTTAAACCATTGCATGTAGCTCATGATTTTTGCCCCAACAAATTCCTGAAGTTTTCCAGAGATGTCAAAACTGATCTTGTGCTTCCATTCCTAGGTTATGGATAGCAGAATGCCAGTGTCTTGGATATGGTGCAAGGTTTAGCACGATGTTGCAGTCTGCATGGAGTTTGGACAGCACTTTACCAGTGCCTCAGCTCCCTCAGTATTGGGCAAGGGCTATTATTGGTGCCTTAGCCGTTCTCTGTTTTGGCATTAGTTATGATGGAGACTTTGTCTTTGATGATTCAGAAGCTATTATCAATAACAAGGTATGTGATTTTGCATTTAAAAATCCAGGTGCCTACTGCAAAATAATTATTGCTGGATTTTAATTGAAAAGTGAAAGTGTTTAATGTAAAGTGGCATTAATGTTATTAATTCACATGATTCTACTCTGCAGAGAAATTAAACTAAGATTGTATTGGGTGTTGCACATCGATTACACTACAGTTTGAGTATTCTGTACAGTACAAAAAGAATGGCAATACTGGAAGAGTTAACAAACAATTTTACAAATAAGCAGTTCAGAGAAAATGTCCTAAAAGCTCTGATGATGCTGGAGCACTCATTACCACACGAAGCGCATGAGATACATTTAAAGAGAATCTGGATAAATACATGAGAGAGAACAAGATAGAAAGACATTTAAATGGTTGTCGTCTTTTTGTGTTGCTGCACTTTCCCTCACTACTGATCCATGCAGGCTGTGGATATCTGGCAGTAAGGTGGGTATAGCATTGTGGAACGAACTGCCCAAAGCCTCCCGGAGACCATAACACGCGCATTTTCCGTGGTTCCTCTGCATAAGGTGAGCTGTAGAAGGATGTGAGGAGGCTTGCAAGAACTGTATACACTGGCTGAAGCAAGTGGCATGTTCCTGTGCTCTACATTCCATATAATTACATGGATATAATCATGTCATTGAGAGAGAGACTTTTGCAATCAATTATTGCATTTCACTTGTCAAACCTGGGTCTAATAGCAGCCAATTGGAACATCCCTTTGTAATGGCTATAGGGTGATAGTATAGGTAGGCTACTTTGCTGGTCTAGTAGTTGAGGTGTTTAACATATCTTTGCTGGATTATCAAAAACATACAACTGGTTCATTAACAGCCTTTTAGGGAAAGAAATCTGCTATCCAATATGATCCTCTGAAACAACCCCTCCCTTAATGGGTGTCTTAGGAGGAAAGCAAGTGGCGAGGATCAGGAAAACTCTGGGCTTAGCCAGCTGAAGACATAGCCACTTATTGTGGAACAATTAAAATCAGTTTGCCAGAGGCAAAAATTGGAGAGCTCTGAGATCCCACTGGAGGGAGGTCACGAGACAGGTATGGAGTGAGGCCACAGAGGGACTGTGGTGGAGAGAAAGAGACACTTGCGTCAACTAACTCCTGGCATTTCCTTCATATGTCAGGATCTTAGACCAGAGACACCACTTAGCCACCTTTGGGAACATGACTTCTGGGGTTCTAACCTGATCAGCAACACAAGTCATAAATCTTATCGACCACTCACGGTGCTTACATTCAGGTAAGTCTGTGTCATCGGTGAGAATCTGGTTCAATTTTACACTGTAATGTTTGCCTGGGGTACATGCACCAGGTGTAATCAAGTATCCATCTTCATGCTGCCAAGTAACCACAAATACATTTTAAGGTGATTTATTTTTATTTTCCTTTTTGTACATTTAAATTAATAGAAATAATATATTCTTGTGCGCAAATTCTTGTTATCCAAAGTGTAGCAGTTATAATTTTGGTATTGTGTTAGGAGTGTTGAAGGTGATTATTAAGCATAGAAATCATCAATGATCCACAGTCATTTATTTTATCTTCTGTAAGGGCATTCATTGTTTGGATAAATACAGAAAGTTTGCAGAAAGCAAATTTCAACAAATAGCAGATTAAATTAGCATTTAATGGCCAAATGTAGCCCACTACTTGCCAGCAAATCATTAAGATGGTTTGATTTCATTAAAATTATTCCCTTACCATGTATAGTTACATCTTTGGATAATCCCAACAAATAAAACAAAATTGAGCAAATCTCTAGTTGAGTAACTCTAGAGGCATGACAGTTTCATTCTAAGTCTCGTAGAATCATAGAATCACTACAGTGTGGAAGCAGGCCTTTCAGCCCAGTGAGTTCAATCTGATCCTCCAAAGAGCATCCCACCCAGACCTATTCTCCTACCCCATCCCTGTAAGCCCGCATTTCCCATGGCTCATCCGTCTAGCCAGCACATCCCTGGACACTACAGGGCAATTTAGCATGGCCACTTCACCTAACCTAAGGAAACTGGAGTACCTGGAGGATACTCTCACAGACATGAGGAAAATATGCAAAGACAGTCACCCGAAGGTGGAGTTGAACACAGGTCTCTGGCGCTGTGAGGCAGCAGTACTAACCACTGAACCACCGTGCCATCCTAATGGTGTGTCATCTAATGATGGGCACCATTTCCGTGGTTTAGTGCAGATTGTGGAAGAGAGAAGGAAAATCTTGTGATTGCAGGTGAAGTTGTTTGTTCTGTTGGCATTGTGCCTTTTCCCATGTAAAGACCCGTTTGTTTCTTTACAGCATATTGCCCTGATGTGAGGTATCATTGATTTTACCGTATGTCCTTTATTGCTAATGCAATTTCAAGGATTAAAGAATTGCTGAAACATCCACATAATTTTTTTAATAGAAATGAGCTATAAAATAATTAGGGTGTAATTAATTGGTGGAATCTTGTGCCTTACCCCCCATGGCAGGGAGCATTTAATGAGGTTGGAGGGTAGCTGCTAGGAACCTGCCATCTTTTCACCTTCACCTTCTCCCCAATTGAGTCTACGCTGGGATGGCCCATGGAGAGCTTTCTTAGCCCAGTGCCAATTGAGACCATTAAGTGGACAATTCAATACCCATTGAAGGTATCTCATCCCAGGAGCAGAATAAGGTTTTACCATAAGGGAAGCATGACAAAGTCATCCTGTCAGAATTGCTTGTGGGCTCCTTGAGGTAGGACTGGGGAGTCCCCAGCTTTGTGAAGGAGAGGCCTGCCTACAGCCACCTACTGTCTTTAATGCCAAGCCTGTGCCCTTTGTGACCCACATCATGCCACCTTCCACCTGTGCCTGTGTCAGCCCTTGAGATGAGGCCTCGGCTGGATGTGATACCAATAGCAGCCATTGCCTCCGCCATGGCGCTGCTGAGTACAGAAGATCTGCTGACCTCTAGCAGAAAATAAGAGGGGTCTTTGATCCCATGAAATGCCCAGTTAAGTGCCTGGATCGTACAAGCTGTGGCAGGGCTTCCCAAAATGAAGCAAGGTGGGGGTGTTGCTGGTTCTCCAACTGTTAATCAAGACGCCCATCCCATCCGCAAGACTGTCTGCCCTGTATCTTTATTGCAACCGTTCTTTAACTCCCTGTCCCATACCATCCTATCATGCCATACCTAGACCAACCCTTTACCTGATCATTTAATCCATATGACATGCCCCATTTCACCCCTTCTTCCTATGTCACTTCTCCCCATTCCAAACATCCCTTTCTCCTTTCTGGAGCACCCCCCCCAAATCTTGGGGAGTGCTTTATTTTTTATTTTTGATGTGGCTATTATGTGAAACTCTCCTGTTCTGTTAATTTGGGATGGCAATTGGTTAATTAGATATTTTAAAATTTTATTTGCATTTGGGGACATGCATTTTTCAGGCCCTTTCTACCAAATAAACCCACCAACTCCCCTTTAAATTGATCAACTAAAGCAGCAGAGACAGAAAGAAATTGTGTATTGTTAGTTATAGATTAAGTCTAGTCCAAGAGAAGAACAATGGGCCAATGACCTTCATCCGTACTATAAATTCTGTAATACAGCACAACCCCTTGCATGTTATTTTTCCTTGTATGGTCAAGTAAGCAGTTGTAATTTGATTTCAAGACTAACAATCCAGTCCTTGCACGGTGTGTATGAGAGATAGAGGTGTCCAATTGACTCACATCAAGGATTTTTTTCATATGGTCTCCACCAAAATACACTGTCAGCTTGCATTAGCATTAACAAGACTTTGTCAAAAGGACTTGGGCCAGATTTTTGCTACTGAGGAAATTTGCACCTCTCTGTAAAGCTCCCCATCACGAGCAATTTTCAGGCTGAGGATGCAGGGGTTGAGTGGAGCCATGCCTGCCAACTATGGATGCAGAGTGGAGAGGGCTGTAGGGCAGTACAAACACTGAGATGGCTAGTTAGAAGGCCCAGTCCTCAAGCCCTCACCCTGACATCACTGACTCTGTATCCACAAAGGCAGACCTTGGGAGCCATCTGAGATGGACAGATAAAAAAACAACAATCTTCGAGAGCTCTCACTAATACACCTTGGTCCAGAAAATTCACTCATTTGTTAAATTCATTCAAAATGTTTTAATCCCCTCTGACAATCTGTTTTAAAAGCAAACACACTTCTATTCAGTGACAATATCAAACATGGATAAGCTTTAAATAGCTTCTTAAAACTGTCTATCAAAATAAGAACTCAACTATCTGCTGAGATTAATTATTTCTTCTGGAGTTTTTGAAGTTGACCAAGAATTCATAATGGGCTCAGCTGTAATAATAACGCATGGGAAATATCAAAAATGAATTCCATTTAACCTGCGAGAGCATGTCCTAGAGGCTTTTTCTAAGCTAAGTCAAATGGTTTCTCAACCAAAGCAGTCCAGCACCCAGTGTTTTATTTACTTTATTGGACAGCTGCGACCTGTTGTTTTCATATTTTGAAGGGTTGGGAATTCAAATAACTTGCTTTTGTAACACCTAAATCCTCTTGAAATGTGAATAAAGTCTATGAATTCCTGTATCAATTTATGACTCCTACATCGTGAGTTCAGGTGCTTGGAACATCAAAAATGTCTTTTTTAAACTCAGCACTGTTCTCAAATAGCCCTGTAGATTTCTATTTCAAAGTTGAGATTCATGCCTTTCCCCCATTGGCGAAACTGGTATTAGCCAGAAATGTGTGGAATTTCTTTAACTAGGTTCCACCCACCATTTTTAAAGGTCTTCAGTTGAATCCCAACTCTCCACAAATTTGACCGCTCTGTATTATAATGCCATGGAGCACAATGTGGGTACAATGTTCCAGGGTGATCTGTGTGTAAGCTGCTCAAATCTCTTGCTCAGTATTATAGAGTCATATGTAATGCCAAGTGGTGAACCCTTTTTAAAATCTCTGAAACCAGTTAGAGGGGCAAGGGCAGCATGTGCATGGTAAAATAAACACTTTCCTTATGCCCACCACCCTGACTTGTAATGATATTGTTCTTTCACCGTTGCTGGGTCAAATCCTGGAAATCCCTTTCTAATGGCTCCGTGGGTGTACCTCCACCACATGTAATATTGGTTTAAGAACGCAACTCCCCATCTTTCCTTGAGCGCAATTAAGGATTGGCAACAAATTTTGGTTTTGCCTGTGACACCCACATCCTGTGAATGAATGAATGACTAAAAATAATTTGCACATCTGTATTTACAAGTCGTGTCAGCATAACTTCAAGTTCCTGTGGCAGCTTCTGTCTTCTGTTGTTGCGTTAGTAAGTGATGCAAACGCAATAAAGCGAGAATATAACGTAATGTAAAATTATATAGAAACAATACAAAATACACAGCAGTGTCCAACTTGTATGTGGATTAAGTTCATGTTAATTTTTGATCTGTCTATATTTTCATCTCTCTTAGGTTGAACTACCTGATAGCTGGAGGATTACATCCAGTTGGCTTCCACGTGGTCAACATTGCACTTCACAGTGTGATCTCTGTAATGACTCTTGATGTCTTCTCGGTACTTCTAGGTGGTCTAGTACATGATGAGAAAGGGAGGCTGCTCAATAGGGCACCAAAAGCATCATTTCTAGCTGCACTGTTCTTTGCTGTGCATCCAATACATACGGAAAGTGTAAGCAAATTATTTCAAAGCGGGTTTTATAACTTTGTGGGAATTCACTGAGGATCATTTCTTTAAATCAAGGTTTTAGTGCAAATTGCTTATGTCCACCTTTAGTAACGTACACTTCAGGCAAGCAGTTGGGTTATTGAAATAAAAGGAGAGCCTAAGTCTCCCATCCATCCAAAAAGAATGATAATTTTCTATTTAAAATCGCAACTTGCTTTTACGTAGTGCCTTTTTCACAGCATAACATTCAAAGCTGTCTTGCAGGAGCATCATCAGATATATTTTAACAATGAGCTACATTAGGAGATATGAGGACAAGTTTGGCCCAACAGCTACATTTTAAGGAGCACACTAAAGGCGAAGGGAAAGGCTGAGAGATTTAGAGAGGGAATTTAAGAGCTTAGAACTCAAGGCATTGTCACCATTGGTGGATCAAATGAAATGTAGGACATACAAGATTAGAATTAGAGTGCAGAGATCACAGAGGATTATAAAGGTGGAGGAGGTTGCAGAGAACGAGAGGGGCCAAGGAGTGTGAACACGAGGGTGAGAATTTAAAATCTGAGGCATTGCCATACTGGAAATTGCTGGTGGTCGGTGGGCACAGGGGTATGAGACAATAAAACCATGGAATAGTTTTGGTTTATGGAGGATGGATGACAGGCAGCCATCACAAGAGTGTAATCTGCATAAACTTACCTTCTAATGGTGATGGAGCCCTCAATGGTTTTTTTTATTCTTGTCTTCCAGGTTGCTGGGATTGTTGGCAGGGCAGATCTCCTCTGTGCTCTGTTCTTTCTTTTGTCCTTCATCAGCTATTGTAAAGCCTTCAGAAAATGTATGTACCGTTGTTCAGAGATTTCGTCTGTTCTAGAATACATGTGCCACTTAGCAATGCCTAACCTGTTTACATGGTGATACCATTGAAGTTTACACTCACGTCATTTAAATTTAATGTCAGGCAGGAAACCCCTGGGATTGGATTGAAATACTGGCTTTTACAAGGTATTAATATCCATGAATGAAGAGCAACATTGGCTGGGGAATAAAACCAATTTTGCAATGTTTTACAATGCTAAAGGAGTTATGTAAATGCTAGATTATTTATTATAATCATACTTTTAATTTATTTATTCATGGCTGCGGGCATCACTGGCTAGGCCAGCATTTATTATCCATTCCTAAACAACTTTAAGATGGTGGAAATAAGCTTTTGCATTGAACTGCTGCAGTCCATAATTAGTACCCACCGTGTGGTTAGGGAGTGCGTACCAGGATAAGAATAGATTTCCACCATTTTCACACAGCCATAATAAAGGAGCAACAATATATTCCAAGTCAGGCTGGCATGTGGCGTGGAGAACAACTTGCAGATAGTGTTTCCATGCATATGCTACACTTGTCCTTCAAGGTGGTAGAGATCACCGGTTTGGAAAGTGCTGTCTGAGAAGCTTTGAGTTGTTTCTTGAAAGCATCTTGTAGAAAGTACATGTTGATATCACAGTATGTTAATGATAGAGGGAGTGAATGTGGAAAGATGGTGGATAGGGTGCCAGTCAAGTGGCCTACTTTGTCCTGGATGAGGTGAAGCTTCTTGAGTTTCGGTGCTGACCTCATCCAGTCCAGTGGAGAGATTTATTGCACTCCTGACTTTTGACCTGGAGATGGGTAGTTTATCAGTAATGTTACTTTTGAAGAGGCATCACCTACTACTTAAAAATTAAGACAAATTATTGCACTGATTCTTTTTCAGATGATGCAGAAGGAGAGTTCTCTTTTTACTGGATCTTTGCCAGCTTGCTGCTTTGTGCAATAGCGATGCTTTGCAAGGAACAGGGTATCACAGTCCTGGTGAGAAAGTCACCATTATTCAGTTGGGAAAATGCATGTTTATGCTTTGCTGGCCTTCAGTCTGTTTAAGTTGCAACTGATGATTTGCGAGCTCTATGTAGATTTATTTATAGTCTTGTTTGTCTACACTTTCAGGGTGTGAACACTATCTTTGATGCACTTGTGATCTGCAAAATGGATATCCTGCACCTAGGCATGGCACTGTTACGAAAGTCCAAATTGTCTGAGGTAAAACTATGCCTGTAGAATATTATTCCTATTTAAACCTAAACTGTTTCTGTCCTGTCTGTCTCCAAAACTCTTCCTTCCACTTCCATAATATTATCCGTTTTCTTTCCTGCCTTAAATGATTTGCTGTTGAAACTGTTATCCATGTTTTCATTATCTCCAGACTTTATTATTCCAGTGTTTGTGTGGCTGGCCTCCCAACTTCCAAGCTCAACTAAAACTTTGTTGCCATATCCTTTACCTGCACTAAATTCTGTTTGGACATCATCCCTGTGCTCATCAATCTTCAATGGCTCCAGATCTGGCAATTCCAGTTTTAAAATTCTGAACCCTCAATTTCAACTCCCTCCATGGCTTTGACCCTCCCTGTCTCTGTAACCATTTACACTTCTCATTGTCTTAGAAAGGCTGCCAAAATCATCAAATACCCTCCCACCCCGATAATACTCTCTTCCAACCTCTTCTGTCAGGCAGAAGGTACAGAAGCTTGAACACACGCACCAACATGTTGAAGATTAGCTTCTACCCTGCTGTTATTAGACTGCTGAATAGACCTCTCTAACTTCAAATAATGTTGATCTTGCTTTGTGCATCTCCTGTGCAGCCATAACCTTCTGTGCCTAGCTCTGTCTAAGCACCCTATGATCTGTACGGCCTTGTTTGCAATGATCTGCCTGTACTGTTCGCAAAGCAAAAGTTTTCACTGTACTTAAGTGCACGTGACTACAGTAAAGCAAATCAAATCCAGGCCTTCACCGATCTCTGTACCTCTCTAATTCTGGCTTGTTACCACCCTCCGTTTTAGTTGTTCCACCATGTGTAGCCATGTCCTCAGCTGCTTGGACCTGAAGCCCTCAAATTCCCTCTCTGATTTTCTGCAGCTTGCTGTGCTATAAATTATATGGGTAACAATGGTAAAAGAATGCACATCCTTCTTTAAAATAACATTATAAAGGTACTTGTGTGAGGTCTTCAGTTCATTCGTGTGGAAAGATAATTCGGAATGACGTTTCAATTGCCGGAACACTCATGTATGCTTTCATTACCTCTAAACTCAACAATACCAAATCGTCCCTGGTTGGTCTCCCATGTTTTACACTCTTGAACTCGAGTTCTTCCAAAACACTGCTGCATGTGCCTTAAATAAGATACCAAGGTGTGGAGCTGGATGAACACAGCAGGCCAGGCAGCATCGGACGAGCTGGATAGCTGACGTTTCGGGTCTGGACCCTTCTTCAGAAATGGGGGAGGGGAAGGAGGCTCTGAAATAAATAGGGAGTGGGAGAGGCAGTGATAGAAGGTGGATAGCGGAGCAGATAGGTGGAGAGAAGATGGATAGGTCGAGGAGGCGGGGATGGAGCCAGTACAGGTGCGTCTCGGTAGGGAGTTGGGATAGGGGTTGGTCAGTGAGGAGGGAGGGGCGGGTAGGTGAGTGAGAAGACGCACAGGTCAAGGAGGCGGGGATGAGAGTGGGGGGTGCTGGTCTTGGGATGAGGTCGGGGGGATAGATTTTGAAGCTTGTAAAGTTCACATTGAGTCCGTAGGGTTGTAGGATTCCAATGCCTTAAGTTGTAGTAAGTCCCATTTACTTCTCACCCTGATATTTGCTGATCTACATTTGCTTCTAGTCGAGCAATGTCTTGACTTTAAAATTCTCATCCTTTTTTCAAATTGCTTGAAGTCCTCATCCTCCCCATCTATATTAGCTCATCCAGCCCCACAGCAACATATCTCTGCTCTTCTAATTCTAACCTCTTGTGCATCCTTAATTTTAATAGCTTCATCATTGGTGACTGTGTCTTCAACCTCTTAGGCCCAGGCTGCTACTCCTCTCCAGCTTATTTTCCTTCTTTAAGATCCTCCTTAAGACCTACTTGTTTGACAAGGCTCTTGGTCGTTTAATGTAAAATCTTCTTCAGTGGCTCTGTGCCACGTTTGCTTTCTAATGCTCCTGTGAAGGGATGTTTCATTCGATTAAATCTGCTGTTTTAGTATGTGTTGCTTAAATATGTTGCTGCACTGGTTTGTTTTATTTATCTGTTTTTATTTTGCTTCATCCTCAGATGCTACTTCTGTGGAAAAAGGGACTTTTTACGCGAATTCTACTGGTGGCATCTGGCGGGATTGCCCTTCTGTATGTCCGCTGGCGGATCATGGGCACAGGGCCCCCAGTTTTCACTGAAGTGGATAACCCAGCATCCTTTGCAGATAGTGCTCTGGTGCGGGTAAGCTGACAGTGGTACTTTTGAAAGTGCTCAAAACTCCTGGGATCAAAAATCAAACTGCTGACAAACCAATGCCTTTAACTTCTAGGAATGTTTATCATGTGTATATGTTATTTTGCGCCAACAGCCCAAATACTCTGTTCTGGTGTTTAAGTGGCACGAGCCTCCTCCCACCCCTTTTCTCAGCTCATGAGTATATCCTTCCACTCCTTTCTCACTCATGTATATCTGCATTCCCCTTGAGTGCATGCTATTGTGATTTTCATATGTTGTAAGTTTTAACATGTGCATTTCCTACTTTTGTCCATCTTCTTGAATTTCTCAATTTGGGGATTGATTGTATTGTTGGAATTTATTGTTAACCTTCATAAACACTGGCTTTGTTTGAGCTGAGGTATTGTGTCCAATTGCACTTTAGAAAGATGTCAAGGCTGAGGAAGATTTACCAGAAATTTACCAGGGATGACTTCAATTATATGTAGTGACTGGACAAGCTGGTGTTGATCTACTTGGAGCAGAGAATGTTAGGAGAGATGCCACTGGCAGGAGGTTTGGTAATCAGAAGGCATAGATTGAAAGACATTGACACAGAGTCTGTGAGGGGATTTTTTTTGTAAAATGTGGTGAGTTGTGATCTGGAATACACTGTGTGAAAGGAATCCGATTCGGTAATAGCATTCACTAGGGAATTGGAGAAATGCTTGAAAAGAAAAATGTCTGCAGGGGAAAGATCAAGGGTGGTGGAACTAATTGGACATTTCTTTCAAAAAGCTAGTACAGGTAAGATGGGTCAAATGACCACCTCCCTGTACAGTTAGATTCTATGATGAGTTGCTCACAGTACCAGTCGTTCAGATTTTCTGTCCTTCTAACCGTGCAGTATCAAAATCATGAAATATCACTCTTTGCAGGTTTCTCATTGCCACCCAAATATATAAGACAAGTGGTAATGACTTCAGTTTTACACTGGCTAAGATAGTTTTCCTTCTGATGTACAATGCCACTGGGTTCACAATTGATCTTCAACTATGTTAGTTAGCACTGGCAATGTCAAAATGTATTGCTGTTCAAAAATCTAATGTTATGCTTGTATTATTTTGTTTTATCAGGCAATTAATTATAATTACTACTACTCTTTGAGCACATGGTTACTAGTCTGTCCCTGGTGGCTGTGCTTTGATTGGTCAATGGGCTGTTTACCTCTGATTAAATCAATTGGAGACATTAGATTATTTGCCCCTCTTATACTTTGGATCTTCCTTATCGGGATCATGTTTCAAGCCTTATTCTCCACGAACACGGATGAAAAAAGGTAAGGTGTCTAGTTTTGATATTTAGAGCTGCCAGCTACAAAGAAAGCAAAGATTGGACTGGGTCAGTGCCGGGCAAATGTTTCTGTGTGGTTGGAGAGTTTAGGTTTGAAGTCATGGTCAATGTTCTCTCTAACTTTTGATTGCTGTGCAGAGCCTTTTTATTCTTCTGCGCAGTACCTTCTCGACTTCAGTAAGGCCTCCCATTAAACTTAAACAAAGAAGGTTAAGGATTGGTATAATAACGGTGTTGAGATATGTGAAAAGTTTTTTGGCAGAATAAATAAGGAGATAACAAATAACAAAGGGCAGGAGGGTCATTAACCAGAGGGGTTGTGATCTAAGAAGGTTTGCAAAAGTTTTAGGAGAAATGAGGAATTTTGTTTCATGCAGTGAGTTGTGACCTGGTATGTTCTGTCTGAAAGGAAATACATTCAGTCGTACCTTTCAAAAGGGTGATAGTAGGAAAAATGATATTTACAAGTCTTTGGAGACTGAAAGTTAATAGCACTTCACTGCTCTAACAGTCAGCATTAACGCAGTGGACTGAATGGCCTCCCCTCTTCTATGATTTTCAAAATGAGGTAGGACACATGGCTTGCTCTTAAGACCTATTCTTAAGTTAGGTGTTGGGTAGTATACAAGCATCCTGTACTGATTCATTATTAAGTCTTTATTATGGTTTATATCAGTCTTCTGAGAGAAGAGGTAAATGGAGAAGTGAAAGGGGAGAATAATTTGAAAATAATTATTTCTGTTGGCCTAAGTGTTATCTTAGATTGGATTTCATACCAGAGAACATCGACTTGGATTATACCAAATGTGCCAATTCTTGGGTGACTGCATTCATTTGAAGAGGAATTTATATGCTCTTGAAAAATTAGGGTTACACAAAATTCACACTGACGTAAGCAAATTTAGTGCATTATTCAACCCAACTGTCCACGCTGGTATTTAAGCTCCCAGCAAGATGAAACCTACTCATTGTCTTCACGTCCTAACAATGTGTGTTTCTATTCTTTTCTGTATCGTGTTTATCTAGTTTCACTTGAAGTACATTGATGTTATTCACCTCAACCTATGGTAGCAAGTTCCACGATCTTACACGTCAGTAAAGAAAATTCCAGTTCAATGAACTGTTCTTTGAGATGATCAAACATCTCCTAAAATGCATTTATGTTATTCACCCCAACCGCTACTTGTGGTAGAGAACTGCTGCTTGGATTTGTTGGCAACTATCTTATATTTATTACCCTGTCATAATCTTGTCATTGAGGTGCTGTTCCTGAATTGAATTTGGTCAATGGCTTGTTGATAGACAGTTGAGGGTGTACTTGTTAAATAAGTATCTGAAAAGGCATTCAGTGTCTGAAAACAAGATATTATTTCTGTAAGGCTGCACATTGATTTACAAGTCAAAATTGTTCTGACTCTTGGATAAGGGGAGATTACAAATGTTTTAGAAGCAATTGATGCAGTTACCCTTTGGTAATGTATTCTCTAATCAACCTATTCAGAGATGTTATTACACACTTTTGGAACAGGTGGGACTTGAACCTTGGCCTCCTGGCTCAGAGGTAGGGGCACTATCACTGCACCAAAAGAACCCTCCTCTATACCCTTGGTATTGTCCCTTATTAAATCCTCTTAATGAGATTGTAGTGTGTGTGTGTGTGTGTGTGTGTAAAACGTGATGAGTTAATGTTGTGGTAACTCTCATATCTCTCCAGAGAACTTTTCAGTGGGTTATCTAATTATGAACAAATGTTTGGATACATTTTACAGAATCCTTGTCTCTGGAATTACACTTCTGATCATCCCATTCCTTCCTGCATCGAACATTTTCTTCCGAGTAGGGTTTGTGATTGCAGAGCGGGTAATCTATCTCTCCAGTACTGGTTATTGCATGCTGTTGGCTTATGGCATTTGCATCTTGTCAAGACATGGCAGGAGATTCAAGGTTAGGGAGCAAACGTTTTACTCTTCCATCCCTGTATCAACATTTTAATCATGAAAAAGGAAGCTTGAAATGGATTTTGAAGAGCTGTGTTTAATTCTTGCTTTGATTTTCTTTAGAACATCGTGTCTCTTGCAGTGGCAGGCTTGGTAATTATGAATATTATGCAGTGTATCCGGCGTAGTTGCCATTGGAGAACAGAAGAAGATCTTTTCACAAGCGCGTTATCAGTATGTCCCTTCAATGCCAAAGTAAGAATATATGTTTATTAGGAGAAAAGAAACCTAATGCAAATGTTCGTAAATATTCATTTAAATAAGTTGAAATGGAAAGATAATGCAGGGATAGAAAGTACTGCAGCCAAAATTGCAAGTGACGCTATATAGGTGGGAAAGTAAGTTGCATTGAAGAAATAAGAAACTTATAAATGGATAGGAAGGTGAGCAGGTCGAAATTTGGTAGATGAAGCTTAACATGGATAAGTGTGAGGTTATCCATTTTTGTTGGAGGAACATGCAACTTATTATTTAAATGGAGCGAAACTTCACAGTGTTTCGGTGCAGAGTGAACTGGGTGTCCTCATGCATGAATCGCAGAAAACTAGTATGCAGGTACGATGGATAATAAGGAAGGCAAATGGAATTTTGGCATTTATTGCCAAATGATTGGAGCACAAAAGTAGGGAAGTGTTGCTGCAACTGTATAAGCCATTAGTGTACAATTTTGCTTAGGACTTGAGGAAGGATGTAGTTTATATTGGAGGCAGTACAGAGAAGATTCACTAGATTGATTTCAGAGGTGAGGAGTTTGCTTTACGAAGAGAGTGAGCAGTTTAGGCCTGTATCCTCTGGAGCTGAGAAGAATGAGAGCAGATCTAGTTGATGTATGTAAGATGCTAAAGGGAACTGACAAAAGTAGACATACAGAGGATGTTTCCTCGTGTGGCAATCTGGAATGAGGTGTCATAGTTTTAGGATAAGGGGTTAAGGATAAGGATTTTAAACAGAGATGAGGAGAAATTGCTTCTCTTAAGGTTGTGAATTTGTGGAATTCACTATCCCAGAGTGTAATGGATGCTGGGACATTGTCCATCTCCTCCTTAAATTTACTCTCATTTTTAATTAGTAATGGGTTAACGGGTTATGGAGAGTGGGCAGGAAAGTGGCGCTAGGGCCAGGATGACATCAGCAATGATTGAGTTAAACGGCAGAGCAGGCTCAAGGGGCTGAATTGCATACTCCTGCCCCTAGCTCTTATGTTCTTATTTCCTGACTAAATTATGAATGAATGTTTCCTGACAGGTTGCATTTAATTTACTTGGCAATATAATGTTGACCATTGAATAAAATACTTGATTTTCTATAGCACCTTACACAACATCAAGACTTTAAGTATTTTACAGCCAATGAATTAATTTTTGGAGTATTGTCAGTGTTCTGATGTAGAAAATACCATATCTGTTTTATGCACAGCAACCCCCTGAAAACAGGAATCTGATCATAGCCGCATAATTTGCTTCTTGACGATATTGGTTGAAAGATAGCCATTGGAGAGGATGCCAGGGTCCACTGCCCTGTGCTTCTTCAAAGTAGAGCTGCAAATCTTTTGTATCGACCTGAGAGGGGATCCTGAGTTTGACATCTCAAGATGTCTTTCTGTCCCCCAGTAGTGCAGAATCAGCCTTGACTTTGTGCTCAAGTCACAACCTGCTGACTTTAGAGGTGAGAAAGTTGTCAACCGAGCCATGGCTAACAATGGTCACTGTGTATTGGAAGTCATTATAAAGCCTTGTAATTCCATACTGATGAAACCATTACTTTTCTGCAGGTACACTACAATGTTGGTAAAAATCTAGCTGACCGAGGAAAAGAAATATCTGCAATCCAGTACTACAGAGAAGCTGTCAGGTATTCTTACACCTTGCTCTATTTTTTAACTATATTGTTGAATGTGCACCATAACTCTCTAACTGGAAACGACTTTATTTGTGGTGGAAATTTCAGAAACCTTTATTTTTCAGACTGAACCCAAAGTATGTCCATGCTATGAACAATCTAGGAAACATCCTGAAGGAAAGGAAGGAACTACACGAAGCAGAGAAGTTGCTCTCCAGAGCTGTAGCCATTCAGTACGTCTCAATTAATGTGTAATTTGAGGGGAAGCCAAAAACTAGGGGTCATAAAGACAAGGGTGATCACTGAATGCTATGATGAGTCATTCACGAGATATCTCTTTACTCAGCGAGTTTTGAGAATGTGGAACTAACCGCTGCCACAGGATAGTACATATTATCTGTAAAAAAAAACGTGAAACCAGATAAACAAATGGGTGAGGAAGGAATATAATGTTACACATAAATACTGGAGTACCACCTGAATAACTGGGTGCAATTTTGGTTCCCTTATCAATATTCCTGCCTGAGAGGGAGTGCAACAGTGGTTCACTAGGTTGATTTCTGAAATGAGGCAATTATCATAGAGTCACACAGCATGGAAACAGACCCTTCAGTCCAACTTGTCTTTGCCGAACATAATCCCAAACTATCTAGTCCCACCTGCCTGCTCCTGGTCCATATCCCTTCAAACCTTTTCCTTTTCATATATCCATCCAAATGTCGTTTAAACATTGTAACTGTACCCACATCCACCACTTCATCAGGAAGCTCATTCCACACATGACCCACCCTCTATGTAAAAAAAAAAAAGCCTCTTGTGTCTTTTGTAAAGACTCTCTCCTCTTGCCTTAAAAATATGCCCCCTAGTCTTGAAATTCCACATGCTAGGGAAAAGACAACTACCATCAACTCTATCTGTACCTCTCATTATTTTATAAATTTCTATCAGATCACCTCTCAACCTCCTGGGCTCCACTGAAAAAGTCCCAGCCTATCCAGCCTTTCCTTATAACTCAAACCATCCATACCCAGCAACATCATGATAAATCTCTTCTGAACCTGGTCCAGCTTGATAATATCCTTCCTATAACTGGGCAACCAGAACTGGACACAATATTCCAAAAGATGCCTCACCAATATCCTGTACAACCGCAACATGACTTCCCAACTTCAATAATCAAAGGACTGAGCAATGAAGACAAGCATGCCAAATGCCTTTTTAACCAGGCTGTCTATATGGGACACAATTCTTTAAAAAATTATGTACATGCACCCCTAGGTCCCTCTGTTCTACAACATTACCCAAGACTCTACTATAATTGTATAAGCCCTACTCTTGTTTGTTGTCCCAAAGTGCAATACCTCGCATTTATCCAGATTGAACTCCAGCTGCCATTTTTCAGCCCATTGACCCATTTGATCAAGGTCCCTTTGTAATCTTAAAAAACCTTCTTCACTGTCTACAATGCCACCAATTCTGCTGTCATCTGCAAAATTACTAACAATGCCTTCTATATTCTCATCCAAATCATTTATATAAATGACAAACAAAAGAGGAACCAGAACTGATCCCTGCAGAACACTGCTGGCCACAGGCCTCCAGTCCGAAAAGCAACCCTCTACCATTACCCTCTGTCTTCTGTCATTAAGCTAATTATGTATCCAATTGTTAAGCTCACCCTGAATCCCATGTGACCTAACTTTACTAAATAGTCTTACCGTGCGGAACCTTGTCAAAGACTTTACTAAAATCCAAATAAACAAAGTCTGCAGCTCTGCCATCATCAACCTTTTGGTAACTTCCTCAAAAAAAACTCAATCAAGTTTGTGAGACCTGATTTTCCTTGCACAAAACCATGCTGACTATCTCTAATTGATTTCTGTCTCTCTAAATGTCCATAAATCCTATCTTTTATAATCACCTCCAGTAATTTACCCACAACCCAAGTCAGACTCTCAGATATGTAGTTCTCCAGTTTCTCCTTACAACCTTTCTTAAACAAAGGTACAACATTAGCCAGCCTCCAGTCATTAGGCACCTCCCCTATAGTTATAGATGATGCAAATATTTCTGCAAGGGACCTCATAATTTCCTCCCTTACTTCCCACAACATTCTGGATACATTAGATCAGGTCCTGGAGATTTATCCACCTTTATATTCTCTAAGACTTACCGAACGTCCTCTTGTGTAATGTGAACTGTTTTTAAAACATCAAAGTTTACTTCTCTGTATTCTCTTTCATTTGTGGAGAGATTGATTAGACTAGGTCTACATTCTTCAGCTTAGTCAAGGAGACGTGAACTGATTTAAATATGTAAAATGCATAAGCGACTTGACAGTGTGGATGCTGAAAGGCTGTCGCTGTGACTAGAGAGTCTGGACCATTCTTTGCTGACTGACCTGCTGTGCTTTTCCAGCTCCACATTTATTGACACTAGACCATTGGGCCATAGTATCAGAATACACAGTCTCGGCAATTTAGAACTGAGATGAGTAACATTTAATAGAATGAAAGGCTTGTGAATCTCTAGAATTCTCCATGCCAGAAAGCAATTGATTTTCAATCAATGACTATATTCAAATCAGTGGTGGAGATTGAGACATTAAAGGAATTGAGGGATAAGGGGATGATGCGGGAAAGTATAGCTGGGGTAGATCATCCATGATCAACCTGAGGGGGCAGATGGTTTACTCCAGTTTCTGTTTGACATTCTTGTGCAAATGGGAGGAGGTTGACGTGAAAGATAAACGCCAGTAAAGACCATTTGAACTGAAAGGCCTGTTTCTGAGCTGTACGTTCTATGTCACTCAGTTATGCAGTACCTTATTCTCACTTTATTCTCTATGAACAGACCTGATTTTGCTGCTGCCTGGATGAATCTCGGAATCGTGCAGAACAGTTTGAACAAATTCGAAGAAGCTGAAAGGAGTTACTGGACAGCAATAAAATACAGAAAAAAATATCCAGACTGCTACTACAATCTAGGACGTCTGGTAAGCCTATGTGAAACCTGGTGTCAGGTGATCTGAATTTGTAAATGATCAGACACCCTTTTGTTTGTTAGAAATCAAAAGTAAATTTATTCACAGGAAAATAATTTCTTTATTTGTGTACGGGCCCAAAACAAGAGGCCATTAATAAAACAAGAGCAAAACAGTGGGCAGGTAGATTTCTGGAACATAGACTAACAGTCCTGGAAATACTCAAGAGGTCAGGCAATTTCAGTGGCAAGACTTTAAATATTCAATCTTTTCTTTCTGCATAAATGGGCCAACATGGTGGCACAGTGGTTAGCGCTGCTGCCTCACTGCACCAGGGACTCAGGTTCGATTCCAGCCTCTGGCATCTCTCTTGTGTGGAGTTCGCACATTCTCCCTGTGTCTGCATAGGTTGCCTTTTGGGTGCTCCGCTTTCCTCCCACAGTCCAAAGATGTGCAGGTTAGGTGGATCAGCCATGCTAAATTGCTCTGTAGTGTCCAGGGATGAGCAAGCTGGGTGGACTAGTCATAGTAACTGCAGGGTTTCTAGGATAGGATTGAGGCTAGGTCTGGTCTTTAGAAGGTCGGTGCAGACTCGATGGGCTGAGTGGTGTCTTTCTGCACTATAAGGATGCTATGCTTCTAGATGCTGCCTGATCTGCTGAGTATTTCCAGCTGATTGTGTCTGTAAATATAAGACAGTCAATAATTAATCTAATAGGAAATTCAGGAGAAATCTGTTTTATCTGGAGAGTAATGAGAATGTGGAGCTTGCTTGACCAATAGATAGACTGCATGGTGGACCTCAGGCCATCAAGAGGGTTGCATCAGTTCACATTCAGTGATGTTTTGAGGACATCCTTAAAGTATTTCTGCTGTCCTCCTGGGAATCTCTTGGCACCGCCACGTTCTGAGTGGAGCCGTTGCTTCAGGAATCTGGTTTGAGGCACACGAATGACGTGGCATGTCCAGCAGAGGTGGATTTGCATGATTTAGCACGTCGACACTGGGCAAGTTGGCTTGAGAGCTGAAGAAGTTGTTGAACAATCTGGAAATACTAGGCCAATGCAACCTAATACCAACACTCCAGTGTATTCCAAAAAAATAAAGCTTTGGGCAAATATCACCTTTAATGGCTGGTTTTATTTTTCTGCTATTTTCAAACCTTTCATTTCCTTTTAGTATGCAGATCTGCACCGTACTGCAGAAGCTCTGAATGCATGGCGGAATGCTACTCTTCTCAAACCTAACCACAGCCTGGCTTGGAATAACTTGATCATATTACTTGACAATACAGGTAACAGGTTGTATTCTGTATTTGTATAATCATGCTTATTTTCTTTATAGAGATTAGCTCGTTTAGTTTAAAATAGCATTTATTAATTATTTTGAGTTGTGCAATTCAAATGCTTTAGGTTTCAGGTAATTTCTTTTCTGTTTAGCGGTAACGGAATAAATTTCAAAGTTTACTTGTCTTTGTCCTTAGGATGTATTTTGAGGCAGTTGTTACAAACTAAGTTAATACTCCAACGCTATGACCTCTATCAACAAAAATGAAAAGGGCAGCAGACATATGGAATGCCATTATCTGCAGTGTTCCCTCCAAGCCATACGCCATCCTGACTTGAAAATAAATTGCTGTACTTTCACTGTCACTGGATCAAGATCCAAGAGCTTTTCTTTTTGTTTTTACTGACAGCATTGTGGGGTACTGAGACCATATGTACTGCGGCAGTTCAAGAATGTGACTTATCTCCCCAAAGCCAGTTAAAGATGAGCAATGAATGCTGGCCTGTGATGCTACATTAGAGCATGATTTAAAAAATAAATAAATTTAACACAGGCTAAGAATGTTAGCGAGAACTTTGTAATCTTGCCTAGTTCAGTGCAGCATTTGAGCGGTGTATCTTTTCATGACAGATTAAGTAAAACTCAGTCCTTTGACATTCACAAGTAAGGGTTAAGCCTAGGTGCAACAGGCAAAACAAAATACTTTACAATATAGAAGATGCAAATAGCAGTCAAATAACCAATACATTCTTAGCTCCTTATAGAGTCAGACAGCATGGAAACAGACCCTTCAGTCCAACCAGTCCATGCTGACTGTAATCCCAAACTAAACTGGTCCCATCTGCCTGTGTTTCGCCCATATCCCTCCAAAGATTTCTCATTCGTGTACTTATCCAAATGTCTTGTAACTGTACCTGCGTCCACCACTTTTTCTGGCAATTCATTTCACATACTAACCACGCTGTGTGTAAACAAAAAATATTGCCCCTCATCCTTTTTAAATCTTTTTTTCTCCTCTCACCTTAAAAATATGCCTCCTAGTTTTGAACTCCCCCCATCCTAGGAAAAAGACCCTTGTCATTCACCTTATCTATGCCCCTCATGATTTTATAAACTCACTAAGGTCACCTTTCAACCTCCTATGCTCCAGTGAAAAATGTCCAATGGGAACCACAGTGTGGAGGCTGCAGCATTGCGAAGTGGGAAAATCTTGGGTCTTGCAGCAGATCATCATGAGCCTTGAAGGTTTGCACCACAATTTCCACTGAGTGCTTGAGACATTTGCATCAGAATCGTACAAGCATTGCTGCAAGGCTAACGGGGAAGAATGAATTTGCATTCATGTAGTGCCTTTGGCAGGGATGTTCCAAAGCGCTTCGCAACCAACAAAGTATTTTTGAGATAGTAGGAACTGCCAATGCTGGAGAATCTCTGAGACAACAAGGTGTAGAGCTGGATGAACACAGCTGGCCAAGCAGCATGAGAGGAGCAGGAAGAAGGGTCTAGACCCGTACCTACACTGGCCCTAAACCCCACCTCTTCCTCCGTTACATTGATGACTGTATCGGCGCTGCCTCGTGCTCCCACGAGGAGCTCGAACAGTTCATCCACTTCACCAACACCTTCCACCCCAACCTTAAGTTCACCTGGACCATCTCTAACACCTCTCTCTCCTTCCTGACCTCTCTGTCTCCATCTCGGGCAACCACCTAGAAACCAATATCCATTTCAAGCCTACCGACTACCACAGCTACCTAGAATACACCTCCTCCCACCCACCTTCCTGCAAAAATGCCATCCCCTATTCCCAATTCCTTTGCCTTCGCCGCATCTGCTCCCAGGATGAGGCATTCCACTCCCGTACATCTCAGATATCCTCGTTTTTCAAGGACCGCAACTCCACCCCCGTGGTCGAGAATGCTCTCGACCGTGTCTCCCACATTTTCTGCAACTCATCCTTCACACACCCTCCCCGCAATAACAACCAAAAAAGAATCACCCTCGTCCTCACGTACCACCCCACCAACCTCCGGATCCAACGCATCATCATCCGACACTTCCGCCATCTGCAATCCGACCCCACCACCAAAGACGTTTTTCCCTCCCCACCCTTATCTGCTTTCCGGAGGGACCACTCTCTCCGTGACTCCCTTGTCCGCTCCACACATCCCTCCAGCCCCACCACACCCGGCACTTTTCCCTGCAACCTCAGGAAGTGCTACACCTGCCCCCACACCTCGTCCCTCACCCCCATCCCAGGCCCCAAGAAGACTTTCCACATCAAGCAGATGTTCACCTGCACATCTGCTAATGTGGTATACT